ACAAATATTTGAACTTTTTAAAAACAAATAAAAACAGAACTTAAATTGGGAAAACTAGTTTAAGCTTCGATATTATAATTAGCTCGAAATATTATAATTTATATGGCTTACAAACCATAATAAACCAAATCAAATATTTGAATGAAGTGCTACAGATGATACTCGTTTAGCTTTGAGGCGTCAAGCGGGTATATTGGCTTGTGAGACTCGTTATGAAATTTGCGATACATGAAGTAGAGTAGTAGAGTATTATACAGCCGCTTTTATACAGCTTGAACGTTCTTAGCTTCGTTTTAAATTTACTTTTGTGTTCACGGCTTGCATTCGGTTTAGATATATATCTTTTGTATACTACAAAATACCATATAATACTTAGTTCTTTGGCTTAAAACGTGTTTCTTTTTGCTGCTTCTTCTTTCATTCTTTGTGCTTATCAGCTTCTTGCCTTTGCCTTTTTTTAGATGTTTGTTTCGTTTTTTTTTTTGTTGACTTTTTGATTTAAGTATTTAAATTTTTGTTTCAGCTTTTTTTACCAATTCCGGTTCGACGACCCTTTCACTTATTTAAAGCGGTCTGCGAATTCCAATACAAAAGCATCCAAATAATTGTGTTTAAGAACTGAATTATTTGTAAGATATGCATATATATATATATATATATTATAGATATATCATATATATATATTTGTATTATCTGATGTCAACTGAAGAGTCAGACAGCTTTTTAAATGAATAACTATAGCAAACACAGTAAAGCCTGCCTTATTGAAACAATTTTATATATTATATAAATATTCATATATTTCAGGTAATAAATACCTGTACACATTAAGAATATATATATATCTATTTATAATCCTAAATCGACCAGTTTCAACACACAATGGGTAGACAGATTCTTTATCTAGCTATTTCGGGTACTTCCCAGTTCAATCATCACCAGACTTCACTTTCGACAACTGCTGAGTTGTCTCCGTCTAGCTAAGCTGCAACCAGTTGAGAATTCTATGGCTTTTGCACAGTGCTTCCAAGTGACAGACGTTCCCTTTCTGTGTATTTAACCAATGTCATGTAACTGTTAAATAACTGTTAAATAACTGTTAAATGTCTTGCTTTCTAATTAATTTCTTGATTATATATTGTATTTTTTTTATATATATTTTGATTTTTTATATAATTTTTAATTATTTTTTTATTTGCATTTTTTTATAATTATTTTGTATAAATATCTATATTTATTAATATAGTTTTCTGAGAATTTCTTTAGAAGAATAACTAAAAAAAGAATACAAAAATTTAGTTTAAAAAGATTAAAAGTGTCAGAAGAAATCAAAATAAATAAAATGAAATACATTTTGTAATATTATTAACAAACTCTGGCATTATCTACTTTTGAAATTAGGCAGGTTTTACTGTATAATATTAAAGATGCAAATAAAACATGCAACAAACACGCGCAATGCATACTAAAAATATTTAAAGAGTGCAACAAAAATTAGTGTTGGCATTGTATCTTCTTCGTTTTCTTCTTCTTTTTGTTTGTTTGTTTGGCATTGTGATTCCCCTCCCACGCCTCCCCCTGTTCGATGTTTCTGCGCTGCATGCGAGCCTCGGTTATTACCTAATTAATTGATTTTGTTCGTTGGCCACAAGTGACGTCACAGCTTCAACTTGAATCAGCTAACTTTGGTCATACTGTGCTTAAGTTTTATGAATAGAAATTTATTTTTGATACTCTGAAGCTGAATGAGCAGGGCATTTTGCTTTTTGTGTACGCCCACAGAGTATATGTACTCTTGTGCAAGATTAACTGCTAAATTGATCTCGATTGGTTACTCTGTGTATGAGTAGATCGAGCCATGTCTATCTGTCTGTAAGCATATATAAGAGAATACGTGTATACGAGTATTAGGATGTTGATCCGAATCTATTCCGAGGCATTCGTCTGCATGTAAGGTTCGGGTATAAGACTTCGGTCTGTCTATAGGTCTGTAAGCCAGTATAAGAGTAGAAGACTATTAGTGCGTCTGTCTAAGAATATACGAGTAGAAGATTTCAAGACTTCATGAAGTCCTGTTACGGACTGTAAAGCTGATACTAGATACTCTCCACTTATTTACGGGTATTTGCTAGTCAGGCATTGCCATCGAAAACCCTCTTAATTGTTTTATATATATTTAATATATTTTTAAACAGCTGACGCCATCTGGCGCATCTCTATGTCGAGTCTATATATAGACGCAGCTTAAATACATTTGCAATCGAACTGTTGTGGGTGTCGTCGAAGTGTCAAATGTGATTATGCGATTATTATATAGCAAATAATCAAATCTGTGAATTAATTATGCGGTTGCAGCTCAATTGAAATGTGTTAAACAAATTTTGATAAATTGAAAGATTCGAAATATTGAAATGTTGAGATATTGACAAACTGCAAACAGCGAGCACAGGCAACCGCTGCATAACCGCAATTGCTAATTTTTCTACAGTTGAGGGCGTAAAATACAACAGCGATAAAAGTAGATGCGAGGGTTGTTCGAGAAGTTTTAAATGTTTTATGTTATATAAGAGAATTCTCTCTAATTTTAGGTTTATTTAAATATATAAAAATTGCATAAAATATATCCTTAAATTAGAGAAAAAGAGTCGACTTGTATGCAAATATATATGATTGGATTCAGAGTCAAAGAGTTGAGAGTCTTCTCGCTTCAATCCTATATATAAGTATACTTGTTGCGAGGCCTACTCCATATGTTAATGTTATGTGACAGCTAACTTTCCTCTGCGTCACTTGAATTTAGATGCATACGCCTACGTCAGAGAGCGTGAAACATGTGTGAAACATATGACAAATGAAATACACAAAAAACTTATCTAATTTGTGGCTTTTGCATATCTTGTTCTTCTTTTTGGCTTGTTTCTTAAATGTGAATTTGGTTTCTCGTTATGGTGTTTTGATTATGTCGAAATGTTTATAGTAAAAGTGTTTAAACTTTATGAGGCGCGTGCTCCATTCAGAGCTGGAAGTTCTATAAACTAAATGTGTATGTGGACTCGTCTTTTATTACTTATTCGAACAACTATTTCGAATTGGTATTTATGCAGTTAGCTAACTGCCTTGGCATGCCAGACAATGGAAATAAGTGAATATCATAATTAATCATTTAGTTTTTAAATTTAACAACAGAAACATTCCACAAGGATTAAAGCTGCGGAAATCTGTTTTATGGCGGCTAATTAAAAAGTCTCTCTTTGGGTTTATCCTGCTTTATGTTGGCGTAATGCTCTTATCTAATTCATGCTAATTTCGTATATGTTTAATGACACCATTTTAATGGCTAACAAGTAAGAGTGGTCTAGTCGGTTAGAGACTGACTAGAAAATACCCTGCGAGGAGTCTGGGATGAAGAGGTATCTCTTCTGCTACGTGACTCACTCATAATAATAATTCTTATATTCCTATACAGACAGAACACTATTATACTCGAACATATACAAATACTCTTATACTCTTATACAGACAAACAGTTTTAGATTACCCATCGGTCAGTCAAGCACAATCAAGGCGTGTATACCCCAGGGGCACATTCTTCTCAAACTACTGCAGCTCACTTCACCAAAAAGCAATACACTCTATTTGGAGTATGAAACGGGGCAGGGTATACACAAAAAGGGCTCCCCTTAACTAATTTGCTTATTTCTGTTGCAATTAGTTTATGTTAATTGGCTTTTGTTTGTTTTGTTGTGCGTTTGAGTAAAAAGCCAAAAAGCTTTTTGAAATTAAATTAAATACTTTGAATGTGGAATTCAGTTGGATAAAAATGTTGCAGTTGCACAAAGAGTGGACGAGAGGGAGGGAGCGAGAGAAATAGAGTTGCTAAATATTTATTTTAATTAATGAAAAACAAGAAATTTTAAAATATAATTAACAAATTCCATTGAGCTCGTTTATTATTTTATGCAAATTTAATTTCAAATTTCAAAATATATAATATATCAAAAAATATATATTTTGAGTTCATTTTTTTTATTGATATTAAATTTTATTTCTTTAAAAAAGACCTGAAACCCTCCGAAAATAATTTTAATCAATATTTTCTGGAATGTTTTTACTTGTTTTGTAATTTAATATTTATTTTTTATATTTTATACTAAAAAATTCTCAAATATAAAAGAAAATATTTTAAACTTAAACTTTTTAGCCTTTTTTTTTATTTTAATAAAACATTTATTTATTTCAGTTAATTAATTTAAAATCATTTTTCGAAAAAATGTATTTTAAATAAAATTATATATTTTGTTTCATATATTTTCATATCGAATTTCATTGGTTTTTACTTTTTATCTTTTATTATATTTTTTTTTTGTATACTGAATTTCTAATAAATAATTATTTTATAAGAATAAAAAAAAAATATGTAACTGAACTGAAGAGGGAAGGGAGATACAATAAGCAAAGCCGCTAAATAGTTCATTTATGCTCAGATGCTAAGTAGTTAAATTGAGTTGTATAAAATTAATAAATTTCTTACATAAAAACTAAAAACAAAAACTTGCTAAAAAATAAAAAATAAACCAATTTGCCAAACAAGAAATTGATTAACATAATTTTTATTTTTTGTTTCTGCCATGTTTCAAAAACAAAAACAAAAACCAAACAATTATGGCTGTAAAAGTTTCAGCTGCTTGGCATATGAAGAAGCAGAAGAAGAAGCAGCAGCCGCAGAAGAAACAAGAAAAAAATGAAGATGCGCCAAAAAGGCGAAAACTTATGCAATTTCTTTTCTGTTTGTTTTCAATTTCTGCTGCTGCGCTTTGTGTTGTTTTTTCTGCTTCTGCTTTCTTTCTTCTTTCTTCGCCGCGCAAATTATATGCACTTTTTTATCGTCACAATTTTTCACAGCTTTGCACGAAAATGTGTTAAAGTTATTAAAATCTTAAATATTGCCTAAATAAATGATAACAACAAATGCTTTTGTTGTTGTTGTTAGTTGTATGCACCTTGTATTCGTTTACACGAGCGACTGCAGCCGCGCGCAGCACTTGTTGCCGATGCGTGTGTGTTTTATTGGAACCGTTACGAAAAAATAGTTGTTGCTATTCGTATCTGCGTTTGCGTCTTCGTCTTCGTTTTCGCGCAGCTGCTAGCAAACCGATCGACCGACGCGAACGACTGGCAGAAAGAAACTGAAAATCGTTAAACTGAAGACAACAGCGCAAGAGCCAAGAGCCATCGGGCCTCACGCCAATGCGCGCCGTTAGCCCGCCGATCAGCTTATCTGACGGCGACGGCGACAGCGACTACGGTTGCGCTGCTGTAGTGCTGTCGGCTTAGCCATTTTCTCCAGCTGCTTTAAGCTGATCTTCATTCAATGCTGCCTTCTTTTATGCGCTGGCATAATGTTTTAGGTGTCGGGTCGCATGCCATTGCGCGTCTTTAGCTCGCGCGCGCAACTGCTGTGACTGTGGCGGCGACGACAACGTCGACTGTAACTGATATAGTGCTGACAGCTTAGCCTTTTCTCGAGCTATTTTTAAAGGCGCAGCTGCTGCAACTTCTTTTATCAAGCTGTTGCCATCTTTTGCGCATAAAAATAATATATTATAAGTATGCTTTGCTGCTGCTGAGACAGAGCTGGCAGCATAATTGTAAATCTAACTTTTTAAGATAATATTCCTTATCTGCTGGCTACTTTTTGCTGGGGAACCGTGACGTTTAGCTATCTTTTCACTAATATAGGATTCCGCTAAATAATCATCATCTATCTTAAGCATTAACTGTTGCTTAGCTCAGTTTAGCTTTGTTCCACACACAAATCTAGCCGTATTCTAGCTTATTCTAGTTCTTTTTTAGTGCCTTTTGTTTCGCGCATAGGCATAATGTACTATAAAATTTTATGTTTCACTGTGCATTCCACATTTGGCCTTCGCAATTTCCGACACTTTTATGTGTCTGCCAGTCGTAAAAGGAAAACAGCTAAAATCAACTAGTTTCGGCTGCACTGACAACTGAAGTGCAATTTTTAAGGAGCGCCCGAAAGTATGCCTTAAATATAAAGCAGTCGCACAGTCGAGGCCATAAAAAGCAGCAGACAGTGAAGAGGCGCGTAGCATTGACGTCATTTAATTATGATTACAGCTATCGGTAAATGGGGTTAAATGCAATGCTTAATGGCTAAGCAATAAAAAAATTAAACAGCTTCAACAGCTGCAGTGAAATGTGTAAGACCCAAAAATTCAATTAGCTGACACAGACAGGTGACCTTTGACAGGTGGGCAAAACACAAAACATAACAAAACAAACGACAAATGCCTAAGCTCCCTGCTTATGTCATCAACAACAGCAACCTCATCATCACCGTCTTCATTATGAGTGTTAAATATAAAATCCTATTTACTTGCCAATTGCCAATTTTACATTCGAGTGCACAGTGGACGACGATGACGTCAGCGCCCCAAGGCGCCAAGCCAGAAGCCAAAAACTATTCACACTAACAACCAAACAGCCTCCTCTATCCCTCTCTCTCGCTCTTACTTCCTTTAAGTGTATATGTGTGTGTGCATAATTTCATTACCAAAGCTCGACGTTTGTTTTCAATGATGTCATATGGTCGCACTTAGCCGGAAGTCCCAAGTCCTTGTGGCCAAACATACAGAAAACAAAAAAAAAATACTTGACGCATGCGCACATCAGAATGGCCGCTTGTCAATGCAGCAGTTCGCTCTTTATCCTGTGACGTCACGGTTCTCTTAAGCTCCGTAGAGTAGCGACCGAGCAGCGGCGTTTCTATGGGAATTTTACCGTTGGCTTGTTGGCTGCCTGCTGCTTAACGCAGCTGTTGTGTATACCCTAGATTGAAACTTAAATGTAAAGGAGCATATTGAATATAAATGTTATTTAGAAATTTTAAGGATTTTAGATTTAGTTGAAAATATACCCTAGAATAAAGCTTGAATGATGAAACGCATATTCCTATAAATATAGTTTTATTTTTATACTATTTTTGATATAAGCTATTGCGATACCATATAAAGGTGATAACGTTGGATTCATATTTTGCAGGGTATCCGTAAGTACTGTATATATACCCTGTAGGCAATATACAGTTATTGGAAAGTTGTTAATTATTGATTGTATTTAAATAATTTTTAGCTTAAGTGTTTTGCTGCTGAGTATCTGTGCGTGCAGCATTGCCTCATTAATTTTTGCTTGTTACGATGGCGTCTTTAATGCTTCATTTGGCACGGCTGTGGCTGCTGGCTAAATAAATATTTAGCTTAAAGTGTTTCGTGCTTCGTTTGGTATTCGACTCGAGACTCGCAACTCTCGAATCTGGACTTTGTACTCTCTGGACTTTTTTTTTTGGCAATTTTGTTGACTTTGGTTTTATTGTCGCCTGTTGGAGGCTGTAGTAACTGTCTGCCAGGACATTAACCTCCGAGCAGTGATTTGAAGTATTGAATTACATGACAAGTGGATTGCTTGTGGGCGTGGCAGGCAAAGGGGTAGACAAATGTTGAGCCTTGTTGCCTTTTCTTACATTTTAGCCATTAGTCGAAAGCCAAATAAACACAAACAAATCAAAGGACTTTGAGAGACGCCAACTCGTTTGACAGTGACGCAAATGTAAAATAAATCAAATACAAAAGTTTTCTTCATCTTCTCTTCCTCTTCCTTGTTTGTGTCAGGCATCTGTCGAGCCCACTTAGTGTGGCGGCGAGGGGCGGGGGAGCCATGTGCATAACAAATTTATCGCCGGAAGTGATTTTCGCTGAAATCCAATCAATAAAAAATTATGCTGCCTGCTGCTAAAAATAAAAGCCAAAACAGAAACAAAAATGGCGACGGCCTGAAAGTAGGCAACATTAAAGCGAAGGCACCAGTCGTTTGCTATCTCCCTCGCACGCGCTATGTGACGTAAAAAATGAATCCCAAATTTATGTTGCGAATTTTTTACGTTATCTCCCTCCCACTCTTTTTCTGTGGAGTTGTCAGCCAATGCCCCTATTTAATGTTTTTATAGTTATTTTCAAGTTCTTTTTGCTTAATTTCTGCAGCATATAAATGTTCGCAGGCCCTGTATTTATGTTGTTGTTGAATTTGTTGAACTAACAACAAATTATAAATGCAAATTGATTTGATTACAACTTTACAATTTTTCTTATTCAATTTAATTTGCATATATAAATAAATTGAATAAATATTGAGAGTAAACAACTTCAATTCAAATAGCCAAACAAAGTGAAGAGTTCCTGCTGCTCTGCAAAGCGTGCAACAGTTTATTTATTTGCAAATTCATTTTCAAGTTTAATAAATGTATAAATAGGAAGAAGAGAATCAGAGTCCGAGAGACGAGAGTGAGAAAGAGCGCAGTGAATGCGAAAGTTCAAGTAATGCGCCATTTAAGATAAATCAACAGCAAAAGGCACAATACAAACGTGTCGAAGCACAGGCAAACAATAGGACAGTTACAGCAGAGCAGTAGCAGCGCTGCAGCAGCGTAGTAGCGGCAGTAGAAGCAGAGCATTAGCAGTTCAACAACAGTACAGTGCAGCTGAAGTTGTAGCAGCAGCTGAAGTAGCAGAGCAGCAGCAGAAGCAGCTGAAACAGAGCAGCAGTGCTGCACAAAAGCTGTTGAAGCGGTAGCAGCAGATCAGCAGCAGCACAAGTACGAACAGCGGAGCAGCGTAACACAGACAGTACCAATAAAGAATAAAGCAATAATATGAAGAGCCGGTAGCAGAGCAGCAGCTAAAGTAGCAGAGTGTAACAGCAGAGCTGTAGTAGCAATAATATAGAATAAAGCAAGAATATGAATAACGCAGCTTAAAAAAATGTAACATTAAGTAAGTGAGTATGTAACTGACTAAGTGAATGAATAAGTGAGAGCAAGATAGCAGATAGCGAGAAATATGTAAATAAACAAAGCAGCACAAGTCAATGCCAGAGGCGCAAAAGGTTGCCTGCCAATTTATGGCGAAACGCACACACACACATACACAGACAGGAAGTCAAACAGCCAAAAACAGTTCAACACGTGCAATTTGCCAAATGAGCGTCGCAGTGACGTCACAAGACGCAACACTGATAACAATTGCAAGCGGGCGTCGAGCTCTTAAGAGCTACGCACAAAAAGAGAAAAACGCGTTGGATGAGCGTAAGCAAAAAAGAGCGTAAGAGAGTAGGAGAGCAACGACAGCTGGCATATAAAAAGGCGCGCACAGTGCAGCAGCGCCTCAGTTCTTCAGTGGAAGTGCCGGTGTGTTAGCAAAGCGCGCTAGCAGAGCTTTTCTTGCTATCCAGCAGTGGCAGCAGCTACAACATACAAGTTGAACAATATGTATTAAATGTTGAAACGAATTGTTAATACTATAACGAAGCATTAAGTGCGTTATATACAAATATATATTTTTGTAAGCTATAAGAAAAAACATTTAACAAAATTTTAGAAACCGTTATTTGTGTGTGAAATTTGTGAAAAGCTATTAAAACAAAAGGAAAACAAAAACAATCAAACAAATCTAACTGTAAATTTACTAAAAAAACATTTCAACATTGAACTACGCAGCAAAATATGCTAAAAATCAAAGCTTACAAATTCATCACAACAACAACACGAAGAAGAACAAGAGTCTTAAAAGTGTGAGGCGCCAAAAATCATTTAAATAATAATAACAACAACAACAGGTAAGCTAGTAGCCCAGCCGCCCGCTTTAAGGGAGTCGAAACTCTTCCAGGAAATATGTTAATGTAAAAGGAAAAAAAGAAGAAAAAAAGAGCATGCAATTAACCCAAGCACACAGCAAGTAAGCAAATACACATGCATGCACACACACACGCGAACACTAGCGTCTTTCGCTAGCCCATGACAGAGCGAGCAAGCACATAAACAAGCAGCTCAATGCCTGCTGCTGCTGCTTGTTGATTTTACCTCTCTGTCTGACGCTTGCGAAAGACGTTTGCTTGTGTAAAGCAAGCAGAAAAAAGCTAACGGACGCTCCTCCAATGATGACATTAAAAAAAAACAACAAAAATCGGAGCGCTCGAATAAAAACTGAAATAAAAAACAGAAATGTAAATAAATAAAAAATACACACGCTCGTTAATAGTAAAAAACATGCTGCTGCAATTCAATTTAAAATTCCAAAAAAAAATTGAATTGGAATC